AGAAGCTGCTTTTTGGCTGCTTTCTCTGTTTTTGTTCCCTTTCTCTAGTTCCTCCTAAAAGAAAACTCATTTCTCATTTTGCCTCTGTTTTCCTCCCTCACATCCCAATGGCTGGGAAGGTCCTGATGAGGAGGATCTCTTCCACAAAGCATCCAGCAGCTTTAATTCCTCTGCACCACTACTGGGTTTTCTTTAGAGCCAGTCTCTCATCTCTCATTTACAACTAGTCCTTTATTTGCACATGTCCAACACGCTACAGAACAAAATGAAGGGCTGGATTTCACCGCAAGCAAAAGAGCTAGGACTACCTGAGGTTGTGGCGCTGTGAGTGTATTGCCTTCACCACTATACTTTGCTGGACTTTTATGAAAATGGAAAAAAAAAACCCAAAACCACAAACAACCCCCAAAAAACCCTACACCAAGAACAACCTCCAGGCCTCACCTTTTTATGCACTTACAGAAGTTAAGTTATATCAATTATACTTTTAGGCAACCTAGCTCTTAGCATCAACGGTCTTCTGCCTCTTGCAATGAACTATCCCGAGGTACTTGATGGCATCTGCAATGCATATTGAATTAAGACTATTTATTTATAAGGAAAACATTAATGTAGTATTCTGGGAATATTCCCTACCTTCCCCATGGCATCAAAAATCCCAGCAACTTTATATGGTCTTTGCTCCTCAGGAGGCTTGTTCCCGCAGATTTTTCTACTTCTAGTGTTAATGGGATATTCCAGGAGCAATGAATATGTCCTTATAAAGTTTGGTTTGCTGATGCAAAGCACCATTTCTCCGACTTTCAATTAAAAAGGCACCTTCATTTTAAAGCCCGTCTCCAGAGCTCCAGTATAAATGTTTATACAAGCCAGAGACACACAGAAAATAGAGAAGACTGAAGCAGCAGTGACTGCAGGCTGCCCAAATACAGCTGCTCTCATATTTTTAACACAGAACTCTAGCTGCTGCAGAGCCTTATCAACCCCAAACATCTTTGTTTTCCTACCAACCAACACAAGCCTGGCAGTGTCACTACACTGCAGTTTGCTCAGCAAACCCATCAGAGGGAGCAGAAGGCAGCACCGTGTCCGCCTGGACGGGAGGAACGGGTATCCGCTTCTCACCAGCAGAGTGGCACACGTCAAAGGGGAGGAGAAATAAAAAGAAAAAGGCTATCTAGTCCCACTGCCATGAATGACAACACTCCCATTCAAAACAGATGGCTAGTTTTCCCTTAGGACACACTATGAGTTAGACAAAAGGAAGATTCAAAAAAATTCAGGGGTGGATTCCTGACTGGTCCAATTTGCTCCAGTTCCCGTCTGGTTGCTCTTGGCTCCGAGCTGATGTTCTCATACCCCATATCATCCAGAGCCCAGCTCCTGGCCCCGTCTCCCTCAATAAACTCTTTCCATTTGAAAAGGCTCTGGGTCAAACGCTGCAGCTGAACAGCAGACATGTTGCAAGCGCTGGAAGTTACACCAGACAACCCCAGTAAGAGACAGGCAATTGAGACTGGAGCTACAAAAGCTACAATTTACAGCTTCAGCAACTCTGCAAGAGCGCTCTGCCATTACCAAAGCATACAGAAAACCAGAAAACTCAAAAATTTCTGTTTGCCTTTATTACAATATATATTTCTACCCTTGTTGCATTCAGCAGATCAAAATGAGGTGTTAAAATTATTTTCATCATTACAGTAGCACATACACATACCGAGTAAATATTGTATATAAATAGGCTTTGAAATAATACTCCATATCTACAAATAAAAAATACCCAATACCCTCTTCCTCCTCCCTCCCCAAATTACAGCAGTAACATTTTTTTCTTCAACGTAACTAATGCAACAAGCATGGTATTCTTTCCCTCACATGACGCAGCTGGAGGGGTATGGTCATCAGCTTCAAGAAAATAAACATCAGTCACTCCTCACTGCTGCATATTCTAGTTTATGTGTATTGTATAAATAGAATATACTGTGATTTAATGTGTCTACATATTTTTTAGCCAAATATTCTTTCTGTAACAGAAGCCAATATTACACTGTGAGCAAGGCTGAATTTTTTTCTTTCACAGAAAGAGTAGGAATTTGTTGAACCATCCCTTTTTCTGCTACATGAATTAACAAAGCAGTTTAAATATTACGCACGAAACTGTTCATCTATCAAATCAAGATGTCTCACTCTTTGAAGAAGTATGGTGATGTTTCCAGCAGGTCAAAACTTTGATTTTCATAAGTGTCTTTTCTGTGAGCAAATTTGATAAACATTAATTATAGAAACACACATTTGTTTCGCTCTTCAGCTGTATTTCAACTTTCAGATACAAACGGTATCTGAAACAGTACGTCAGAAGTAAGGCGTTTAACTTCATGGAATCGCAGAAATGTTGGTCAGAAGTGACCCCTGGAGGTCATCCAGTCCAACTTCAAGCTTAAAGCAGATGATTGCCAACACCAGATCAAGTCGGCCACAACTCTGTTTAACCAAGTCTCAAAAAATGGGACAGAGATTCCGCAGCATCTCTGGGTTACCCGTACCGGTGCTGCACTACGCCTACAAATCTGACAGAATGAAAATGACCACTCATTCACACCATCATTTGGTTTGAAATATTAATGGCAACAAATAACCCCAGATTAGGTACTTACTAAGTTATAAATAAATACATCACAGGCTTTAATTGTGGAGAACTCTCAGGGGCTGTCTTTTCTGGTGGAAGCTACTGTGTGTGGTACCTTAGGAAAACCGATCTTAACTACTGCTAAGGATAAAAAAAAACTGACAGCCTCTTACTGAAGAGAACGGTTGGTTTGGTTTTATTTCGCATTATAAATGGATTGAAATAGGCCTTTACCAAAACTGAATAAAAATAGGATGCAGTTAGTATATTCATCCATTTATTCAATCATTAATGACAAGTATTAATAGATACTTAAAGGAAAGTATGGCTATATTTAGAGATGCAGCCATCTCAATTTGGCAACCTGCAATCTCCACTGATTGTCTTTTAGAAAATTCATACCACATTTCTTCCATCTTTAAGTAAAAAGATATTTGCATTTTCTTTAAAGTTTCAAGACAGCATCATCAGCCTGGGTTGCTAAACACAAATTTCTTCCTCTTTGTGTTTGTCTAATCCTGGTATCTCCAAAGTGGGCACGCACCTTGCCCAAAGCAGCAACATTCATATGAAAAGGAAGACTTAGGGAGGGCTCACCACTGCACGTTGCAGCTGTATAAAGGATTGCACTTATATTCATTACTGTTGAAGGCACAAAGAAATCATAAATTGGCCCCCTGACATCCCAGATAAAAGTTTGCAGCACTAGAAGTTACAAAAGCCCTACTACAGGATTACCATCCTACTCACTTTGCTATCACTCTTGACATGCAAAACCAGAAACTGTTGAAACAGAACAAATGTGATACAGAGCAGCTGTTCCCAAACTTTTGGGTACTAACCAACCACAATCACATCTTAAAATTTCTTCTGGACTGCTCTGCCTTCCTATTATTAAACTCTTAACTGAAAACACTACAAAGCAGCTGCAAAACATGTAGCATAGCCTCGCAGATCACAAGCTGGCAGAGACTACAGCTTGTGAACCACTGTTTTAGCCACACTGAAATACAGTCTACATGGAATCCCATGATGCCATTTTCAGTGTTTCAGAGAACGATTAGACTTTTAGATATATTTTAAAAAGAAAAAAAGTTTCTTTCCTAGCTACAAGCACATATGAGAATCATTTGGCATGTGGTCACTTGATGTCTACATTTTAAGTACCGCATCGTGTAAAGGCAGACCATTTGGAAAACATTATCAACTGATCTGCAGTATTGCTTTTAGCACACACAGTTAAGTCTTAAGGCTGTCAAAAGCAGGTAGCAAAAACAGTATCTACGGCTTGTGTCTGAACAAATAAGGAAAAAAAGATGAAAGAGAAGATTTCATTATCTTGGAGGAGAGTAAATTGCACTAAAAGTACCCATTCTTTATAATACAAAACAAAACAAGAAAATCATACAGTAAAAACCTGAGATGCATCATTCACCAACATCAAAGTTCACATTTTAGCCAAAATAATGTTCCAAATAAAACTATTCCATTTTGACAAAATCTTCAGTATCCTTGGCTCAGTAACTATCTTGAAACTCAGCACATTCTGTGGGTAAGATGTCTTTACTGAAATCAGTGACTTCAGTAAGATGGGCACTATGCACAGTAGTCTGTATCTTCCACTTGCAAACTCACCTTAATCCAAACAGCTATTCTTGAAGCATGGCACTTCTCAAATTAAGAAAGGCTGCCAGAATCTGGCCATCTTATTTCTTTTGCTTTCTATTTAGATTACACATCATTTATTTCTTCAGAAAAGTGTTACCATGTCAAAACAACAGGCTAGAATAAATCAACACAGCTCAATCGGCTTTGGTAGCTACACTGATTTACAACAGCTGAGGACCTAGACCAGAAATTAACAAACAAACAGTTGTTGGTCAAGGAAGGGGAAAGAGGAAGAATCACTTCCTCCTTCAGAGAAATGAATTTTGACATATGGATTGCAATCCCTGTCTGTGTCACCAGCCAATGTCAGGAATGGTGAGCACCTTCAGCTCCCTTACTTGCAGGGGGTTCTGATGAGGTGAAAGATGACTTCAGTGATGCAGAAAACATATAGAAGCACTTTACAACCTTATGGCATGTTCAACTAAAACTCCAACATCGCTTTTATTTAACCTTAATTAAAGAAACTGTATGGCACAATCTGAGGAGTTGGATGAAGAGCTAAAAATGCAACTCCTATTCCTAGTAAGACTCCTTCTTGTCATCTGGAAATGCGACTAAGTATGAAAAAGCATTTCTAAATTTGCTCACAGCAAAAGAATACAATGCTCACATCACAGATTCCAGCTGAACTGTCAACACCAAAAGCCAAGTGGTGTCTTTTCAATAGGAGCTAACTCATTCTTTGAGCTGAGGCCAACAGTTTGGAGATGCAGTTAAGATGAGGTTGGATGTACATCCTGAGTTTCAAAAGGCGGTACAGGTTCCCTCCAGTAGGTGAACTGACTGTAGGTATCAGAACAAGGGAAGTCTGAAGAGTGGCTTCTTTTCAGCAAAGGGAAAATGTGATCTACCACTTCACATAGTCTGACATAGCTGGAAAATAAATAAAAAGAATTATGAACCACTTTAGATCTTCTTTCTTTGAATTTTTGCCCGAACCACCAAGGCATGGCTACTCTTACACGGACAAGTCACCCTCCTCAAATGAATAAAACTAAACTCAATTTTGGTGCCTATCTTCCAGAGAGGATTCACAGTTCAGAAAACAAATCCATTCACTTTAAGCAACAATATTCAACTAGCAAGAAAGAGATGCCATTTTCTGCCCAGACGACCTGCTAAAATATTCAATCCCTATATTTTCCTTCTCCATTTCTGTCCAGCTTGGCTCAAGCAGCTCCTGGCTCAGTCAATTATTCATTTTATATGCATATGGCTCCCCTTCAACTAAGGATACTCTTAACATTACCAAAGGCCATTTCCATTCAGTGTTAGGTGTTACAGTGTCTAAGCATCTTGCTGGATGCCCTCAGCCCTATCTTTGGAGTCTCTTTTCTGGCTCTTCTAGATAGGAGCTCCAGGAAAAGGAAATTTTGAAAAGGCCGTGAAAAAGCAGATGGTTTCAGGAAACTAGCTAGTCTCATTTTTATGCACACTAAGTCGCACACCGATAATTCCTTTACATGATTAAAATAGATGGAATATATTAAACAGAATACTAAATTTATTTTTGTCAGTTGTTTTGTCAGTTTAACTGAAGAAGAGTGGAAAGTTTGTACTTTATTCTAAATTTTTTATGGTTTGTTTGAAATATTCCAAGGAATCTTCCATTAGTAAAATCAAATGCATCTTTGGGGAACTTGAGTCATAAATTGGAAAAGCAAATTAATTTAGTCTATAAGGTGTTAGGGATAAGAGATTACTTACGATGAGATGTTTGTCTTTGCATGCTCTTGTATAAGTTCTCCTTTGGGGTTAACTGTGAATATCCTGTTTAAAGAAACCCCCACCTGTTTGTATGAATAAACATCCTAAACAGAAGAGGAAAAAAAAAAAAACATGATTCTGCCTTTGCACAATAATGTTTATTCTTGCTGGAATATATTACACAGAAGAACGTATTTGCACAGTATTGGTACTAAATTTACCCAGTTATCGTGTATTCTCCATTATGTTACAAACGAGGTCAGTCTAACAAAATGCTCATGAAACAGACAATTTGCAGTTAGGTAAGGAGTTTGCCACTTCAGTTTAAACTATTGATCAAAATCATATTAATTTTTGCAGTAGCTTCCCTTGACATAAAAATAACATTCAATAAAAACCTAATGATATTTGGTGTAGAAAGCATTTGCGCTTTCATTTTTCTTTCAGAGAATATTTCATTTCCTGTGTGCGTATCTTGCAACAGTGTACAAAGGTTAAAGCATAACTGACATGTAAAACAGTGATTAGTTTGTAAGGACAAGGTCACAAAAGGAAGTCATAACAACTGCGTCTACATTAAAACTCCTAGAAACATCCCTTGGCTTCTGAGTGCGGATTTGTGCCATATCCATACATTGACTCCATGTCAGAGCAAGGAGGAAAGAAGGGAAAGCAAGGAATATATGCCAAAATAGCAGCAGCGAGCCCCAGCAGGTAATGCAGATGCAACTCTGGGAAGCACAATTAGAAGTAAGAATTAAGAATGTCTTCCAAGAAATTCAAACTGTTAAGGAAAGCAATGAATAAGTTTTGATCTGTTCTGAAGAAAAGCTTGACAAAAGCAAAGATGAAAATAACTCCCAGAAGATCAGAGCAAAAACAAGCTTCCATTCTACTAATATAAATCATGGTTTTAAAAGCTGAGATGGTGAAAGACTGGAATGTTAATGAAGATATAAAGATTATTTTTATCTCTATATTGTAAAGGCTGTTCTAAAAAAATTAAGTAACTGAAAAAAAGTGAACAGCAGTCACTTCAAGAATTCAGCATCCTGGCAGTGTATGCACTATCTACACCTGTAACATCCATGAGTACTGAAAATTTACCGAGTTTGCCCTGGGAAAAAAATAAAACAAAGAAAACAAAACAAGCAGTGCAGAAAACTGAGAAAGCAATGATCCTGACCTTCACAAAGCCAGTGGCACATCTCACACCTGAAGACTACACTTCAACAGCAGAGGAGTGAGTTACAAGTTATTGCTTTAGAAACATTAACTTACTGCTTTACTTGGAATTTTATTTCAGTATGCACAAAAATAATGATTTTATTTCCCTGATGTTCAAAAAAAAAAATGGAACTAGAGGTAGACATCATCCATAACTTTAACACTTTTCTGGTTTTGGATTATTTCAGAACCGTATGTCTAAAGGTACCTTGATAATGGAAACTAAGCTGCGTATGAAATAACTTAATATAGCAATTGGTCAGTGAGGACCTCCTGTCTTCTCTGGCATAATGCTTTTAAAAATGTAATTTGCTAAAAGATGAAGCTGAAAAAGTTGCTGTTCATAAACGTCAGCAACGCTTACAAAAATATGAGACAAACGCAGAAGCAAAGTCCCACCAAAAAGGCATGCTGAATCCTCTCAACTATAGCTACAACATCCACTGTTTCAGTGCCAAAATGTCTTGCCAGGCCCCTCCGTCCAACATTTAGGCATCTAAAGTGCCCAGTCTCTGAATGTTCATATTCACACTGGCAATGGCCAGTGTTCATATTTATACTGATTATTTCCCCAAGCTATCAAAGTTACCACTAGTGACCATACCTCAGCTCTTACAGCCCTGAGCAGCCAGGGCTGGAATCCGTGGTCCCTGGGCACTTCAGTTAGAAGCCTTTAGCTGTCCTGGAGTTAGTGGAGAAAGATGGCCACCTAGCACCTGAATTACTCTCCAGATGTGTCCCATTTCTCTCCACCAACTAGAGAAAGAGGTAACGAACTGAAGTGTCCTCTGGCTAACCATACTACTAAATATGAAAGGCCAAGGACCATTCTATTAAGACTGAATGGCATGGCCAGGATACAGGCATACAGTTAAGCGGGTTTAGCTTCCAAAACAGGGTGGATACACCCAACCTGCACACCAACAGTCCTTAGCCATAAACCCCACACTGGTGTTACCAAATCTCTTGTTACACGTTACTATAGCACACATCAGTTTCTACAGCAAATGTTACCCGCCAACAGAGAGCTGGAGGAAGTACCAAACGCTCGGGAGGGGCTCCTGGGCACAAATAACAGGCTCATTTGCCTAGTTCAGTTAGCATCTAAACTTACGTGCCCAATGAAACTGTAAACTTCTAAAAAAAGGAGGTTTTATATATATCCCCTTTTGAAAGCAGGATGCTTTCAAAGATTTTGAGTGAAACAAAGCCTCGGTCCTTCCTCAGGCACCTATGATATCTACCCTAGTAAACTAAACTGTGAGTACCCATCCTCAGACTTGTAAGTCTCTTGACATTGTGTCAGTATCATCAAACTCTCTATACAAGCTTAAGGATTTTTTAGATAATTAGGATTTCAACCAGTATTTACAGTTATACTAACTTAGGCAGATACAATGTAGTGGACTGCTGCTCTTCCATCTGTTTGCATCCTACGCTGTGATGTCTTTGAGGAAGAACCTTTACATTTTCCTTTGTACAGAGCCTAATAAAATATTCTTAACTCCCATTTAAAGCTTCTAGGTTCTAATGTAACAGAACTATGAAATAACAACAACCTTTCTGTTCTCTGCAGTAGAAATAAATTCAGCTATTACTTACAGCAGGCCTGTTTCCAAAAGCAGCATAAAAGGGTTCTGTGTTAGGATAAAACAAATTTTTGATGTCTGTCAAACACTGAACTTTAAATTTTTCTGGCTTCTTTTCTATCACCTCCCTGAAATGATAAAAAAGGGAGGCTGAATAAGTACACATGAAATACCGCACAAACCATTTTATTTATTCAGTATTTTTCACCTAGCTGGATACTCCTACAGAGCCCCCACCCTTCTGCAATAAAACTTCATGTGGAAATCACAGTGCCCATGAAGAGAAAATAGCATTCCCAAGCTTACATGAAGGGCACAGTAAATAAATCCTCTGAAACCAAGGAACTTTGATTGAAACCCATGTTGTAAAGATGGCTACTGAGCAAGGATGGTGGATTACAGGGAGTAGCTGCTAAATAAAGACTTAAGAAACATAAACTGTCATCAAGTAAACTGCTTCCTGAGAACTGCAGAATGATTCACAGATTATACTAGCCTCTACTGTGTATAGCTTTGTTTGTTTGTTTTTAAAATAAAGGATTGCAATTACCATATGTGCTAGAAGCACCTCAGCCTGTTAAAATATTTCTACAGTCAGGGTCCTCCATCACTGCTAATTAGCAGAAGTTAAGCACTAAAGGAATCTTCCATTTCTCTTCAGTTGCTCCTTACAGAATACAGAATTCATTAATGAACAGAGGAGTTCTCATCTCTGGGCAAAAGCCCTTTCACAACAGCTTCTCTTGGCAAGGAGACTGAACAGGTGGCAGAGTCTGGAGTTCCCATAACATAGGAAGACGCCAGCATGACACAAAAGCCCTTAAGAAGCTCAGAATCCCACATCCTAGCACCAACACATATGTCAAGGAAGATGCGAATAGTACAGAAGCTTCATAGGAATAATACAGTCCTTTGGAAGAGCAGCTCCACATATAAAGCAAAGTTTGAAAAGTGTGCAAAAGAAGAATAAATCCATCTTTCCTCAGTCTCAGGTACACCTGATCTCAGAGCCCTCAAAACCACAATAATTGCACCTATGGATAACAATTAAGTCATTGTCACAGCAGTTGCAATAGCATACACTGAAAGATGGGCTTTTTTTAGTCTAAATGAGATACAAAAAAGAGTATCACTTTAAATATATTTCTAGATATAAGGGGCATAATATAACAGTAACTACCCTTTCACTGCATTTACTATTTAATCAGACTAAGAAATGCACTGTAATACCTCTTAGATTTAGAACATGACTGGTAAGACAGCCTGTAGCATGTCACTCACTCAGGAGAACATCTGAACAACCTTCCATTAAAAATTCTAATGAAATATATCCTGTCACAGCAGCTTTTAACAGCTTAAAATATTTTCAGTAATCAGTTGACATGCTTCACTGAATTAGGAAGAAGGTACGATATTCATAATCGGTGCTATTATTATCCCACACTAGAAAGTACAACATTGTCCACACAGAATACCACAGTGCAGTCACAAGAATAAAAAGTTCATTTCATTTTTCACATTAATTTCTTCAAAACCCAACAATATTCTTCAAAAAACATATTTATGCCAATTGGAACACTTTAAAAGTCAAGACATGAGTGACTGTTATCAGCATGCAAACATTTTTTCCATCGCTAAATATTAACACAGCATGTTAAACGCATGAAGTCAAAAAGGCAGCACCTACTGGTAAAGAGTAAAGTCAGATGTACATTGAGGCACGTCTAAGATGAACTAAGCAACGTGACTGTCTACTGAATTTTGACCTTTCTCTAACAAAATTTCTTCTTAATTAAATTTTGCACCAATATGTAAGAAAAGAACGTTATGAATTATTTCAAGCACTCTCATAAAACAAGCTGAGAATTCAGCCTCCACCAGCCTCTGAGTTTCTTTCTCCATACAAATGAAATTGCATTACCTGTGAAGAGCTGAGAATAAGCTGCTTGGACTCAGCAACACTGGCCCTTGAGGCAGCACAGTTCCTCGCTCATTGACCCAGTGCAAGTATCCTCTGGTCATGTCTGCCATTCCAATAGCACGTGCTGAGCAATACAGAAATTTATACCCATTTCTGTGAGCAGAACAAAAAGAAGAAATTACTGTAAAAATAAAGCAGGTATTTTGACATTAATAATTTTGTGGGTTTATTTTTACATTAATCAAATCACGACTGTTAAACAGACTTATTTTTAACCTAGACTTATCTAAAAGGAATAAAAACATTTACGCCAGAAACCTGGATAATTAAAATCCATCTAGCTCCACTGCAGTTAGTGATTTACACCTAAAGAGGGCTCTTTTATCTCTGATCTTCTCACATCTTATGACTTCTTACAGTTTTCTATCCGCCCCTGCATAGTGGAACCATACTCTCTAGAATTAACTGAAATGACATCTGCTAAGAGTAAAACACTTGGCATAAAGCAAACAATGGTGCATTAGCCTTTGCTGTATTAACAGTGTGGTACTCCTGCCTCATGGGTCTCTGCAAAAAAACAAAAAAAAACAAAAAAAAAACAAACAAAAAAAAACCCACGACTACTCTGTGCAGCAGTAACATATTCCTTCAGGTCAGAGAAAATTTGAACTTCTAAACACAGTATGAGAAGTAATCTTTGACTTGACACTGAAATAAAAGCTTCAACAGCCGTCACAGGTTACCCTTGGTTCTGTTCATGATAGAACAGAGTCCAATGATGTTAATTCAACCTAATAGCAATTTACTTCACAAGTCCTATAAAGAAATTTTTTTTCATAAAATAAAGAACTACTGTATTCAGTGCATGCATGGTCATTAAATCTAACTATCGAACATTTACATGGTGCTCAGCTGTAGTATCTAGCTGCTACATAATTAACTTGGTAATTTGAAAAACGACATAACTCTAATCTATTTTTTCCCCTATGTTTATGATCACCAAAGCCCTAACAACTGACAATGCTGGCAGGCATAGAAATAACAACTGCAATTAAAAAAATTAATTAATATTTTCACAAAATGTAATGCAGAGGTTGTACACAGAACTAAATACTGCTCAGCATGTGAATTCCCAGGCTGTCCTGTCTTTTCTGTGACCACATACGTCTATACAGACTAAAAGCACAGACAAGTGTTTCTGGCATAATTTAGACTCCATCATCCATAATTTATAATTCATCAGCCGTGCAAAAAAAAAGGCAATAAATGAACCTTAGCATAACCCTAGTACACAGATTAACTAAGAGGACAGTTGTGATGTGTGCCAGAGGCTCTTCGAACATTTATGGTAATTCAAATATATAAGAGCAGCTGAATCTAATGTAATAAAAGAAAATCAATTTTATTTTTTGTGTAAAGCAGAAATATCAACCTGAACAGACAGCAATCAGCAACCCTCCTCGTAAAAGTTAAAATCAGATGCTTTATCTGATCCCATTCAGACATCATCTCCTTTTTTCTCCCACAAAACTCACCATACTCTGTCTTTGATCCTCCAGCGTACACAATGACTTGACTACATTGCAAAAGGTGTACAGGGAACCAGCAGTACACCTGTACTCTTGCACTAGCCTTGCCGACCTAGAAGCATTCCTACACATCATCCCATGTAAGTTGGTACAGACTGATTGTTTTTCTTCTGTTCATATTCATCAGTGGAAATATCTCCATTTTTTTGGAATATCTGTTCTAGGTCATACCAGAACACTCTCCTTGTTAATAACATTAACTGACCTAAAGCACAGCTGATCCACTGTTACCCACTATTTCTTCAATAGGTAATGGAAAAAATTTGTTTTTTCCAAACATCATTAGGTCTCGGGTACGTTGAGCTACTTTTTGAAGATGCCTGTCTTTCTCCAAGGATTACACAGAGTGTACAAGCCACATGTAAACATGATGAATCCACTCACAGTGGCACAGAAGGTATTTATTACTGTGGACCCACAGGAACCAGTACAGGTCAACTACTGAGCTATAATATAACAGCTCACGCTGGTGTTGACAGGTAAAAGCTCTTCACAGCATATGTCTTCTTGACTTTCAATGCCTTTCAATTGCACTTTAAGCAATGCTTACTTATCACCTACTCTCAAAATTAACCAATGACAGAAAAATATTTTAAGACTGATCCATCCTAACTTTGCAATTTAACAATGGAATAAAAACAAATAGTTATCTACAGAAATAACAAAATAAATTGTATCATCATCAGTAATAAAGATCATCATCAATGTCTTTGAAGCTCATCATTATTTATACAACAAATAAAACAACAAGAATATTAGCAGGGAGTATATGAAATGGGTCCGTTTCTACTCAAGATAAGACATTGTGCTGTGCTTTAAGGGTGAGATTTATCCTGTTTGACTAGAAGCCTAATGTTTAGCTCAAGTCTAAGCTGTTTCACTAAACTCACTTTCTGCTCACTGGAAAGAGAGGGAACACCCCAAAAAGGTTCATCCCATGTGTTTTAGGTTCCATTCCTGCATGACTCCAGGTGAGTCAAGTTTGGCAAGAACTTCACCTGCAGTAACCACCCAAGATTAAACAGTCTTTACGCCTTTCACAATCTCCTCAACAAGGACAGAAGGGAAGGTGTACTAGCACCTTATGAATTAACGCTGCTGCAACTCCCAGTTTGCAAGAGTTCCACCTGCACAACTCATTCAAATTACTGCAGCTTTCGGAACTAACTGTATCTATCTGTTGGGGACAGCTGGAAGAACAATCACTCCTCATTGATAGGGAGCTTTTGATACCACAAAGCAGATTTTGCTCTGGACAGCGTACAGCAGATGTTTACACTGTGTAAGCATCACTGAAGTGATGAGACATTGATGAAATTGTCACCCTTATAGGTTAAGAGCAGCCTAGAGAAATTTTAATTTTTATGAGTAAATGAATAAACATAAACAAGCCACAGATGCATGAACAGATTTACTGAATACTTACTGGCTCACTTTATGGTACAACTTTGCAATCCCTTGGTGCGTCCAGTCTTTGCCAAGAGTTGGCAAAATATGACCTAAAGTATCTGACCTGAATAAAGCAAAAACAGTATAGTTGAACCGAAAAAGCCCCAATACATGTAACAATAGTTGCGGCTAATACAAACCCCACTAATTTATTTCACTAGTGGCAAAGTAAAATGAGGTTTTCTGTAACATACTGATTGTGATCAGAAGAGGATGATCTTATTCCCCTTTCTTTTGAGATAGGCTGACATGCCCATCCTTGTCCACATTGTTTTAATTACTCTTGTGTCCCAGGACTTGTCTTCATGGATAAGCTCACCACCCATAAGGCAACATGGAAGTTACAGCATGTAACTGTGTAGTAGGCCGGACAGTACTAAGCACACTTTTTGAGGTTTACATTAAATGTTTTCTAAATAAACCAAAGGTACCCATAAGGGAAGTTTATAGGAAATTGCAAGCATGAGGAGCCACATTCTAGCTTACTTCAAGCTAACTTCTCCACACAAAGCTGGCAGTTGGTCACATATAAAGTACTTTGAAATAGTTATACTGGTTTCAAGGTATTTCACACTTTGCATGAGAGAAAATTTATTTACACTATCATAACATCTAGAAATTCAAACAAACGAGCACCTCACTTGACTAAGCATTATAGAGATACACATCAAAAAATCCACACTCTGAATACCTTGCATCTTAAGAGAGAAAAAACATTGGGCAGTGGCTTAGGATGGGTTTGCAACGGTATTGTAAGATGAAGTGATTCAATAACTCTCTGGTCAACTCAACAGCAGAAAGAATAGATACCATTCACTTTATTGAAGCTTAAGAAAACAAAGCAGGGGTGGGGGATATATTAATTTGTGTTGGCACACAAAAAAAATTTTGCCCTACAAAGGATAAATCACAAGGAAAAGAATTTCAGTTTAAATCAAGTATTTTAATTCACCCCAGATTTCACTTGGAAATTATTTTTCCTTGTTCTTTTTTCTAATTAGACATAGAGAAGTTTGACTGTAAAATTAAATGCTTAGGTTTGTTTCAAAATCAATTTCTTTCAACAGGTCAAAAGACAATACTTATTATTATATGCTTCCCTGATAAATAAATAAGTAACTATAAATCAGCAAGTGAATAGTTTTGGTCACTCCAAAATTGTGGGTTTTACCCAAGTACTAATCTGAAACTTTCCACGAAATTCTAATTCTGACATTGATTTTGGAGTTTTGTCTTCTGAATAATAATGCCTCTCATTGGAGTTTTGTCTTCTGAATAATAATGCCTCTCATTGGAATGCCCTAGTAATACCTTCTAAAACAGAATTCACATGTTTCTTCTCTCTAATATAGCCAGAGTACCTCATAAGTGTGATGCAGCAAAAAGGTTACAATTTTGTAGATGGTGCTTCAGTACTATTGTAAATACCATAAAAATCATGAAACACCAACAGGTGACAAATAATGGGCATATATGACACGTGTCTTTATTAAATTAAGACTTCAGCTAATGATTCTTGCATTGTTTGAAAGCCAATTTTTTAAAAAAAAAAAAAAAAAACAACAAAACAACCAAAACCCACACGCCCCCCAAACACTGGAATATGATGATTCTGTGACTCGAAATTCCCTATTAATCACTTTTTCCTTTAGTCCAAAGGACAACCTGTCCTTGCAAATAAAGCCTCTCCCTGTTCATGAACTCACCGTGTGATTGTTCCATCAATGTCAGAAATAACAACTTTTTCATCCCAATTCCATAAGTAAATGGTGCCTTCGCAGCGGCAAGTGCCTTGATACTGTGTTGTAACACTAAAGGTCACGTCATTGGGGCCATTCTTCAGCTTTAAGCTTTTCTGCAAGACATTATCAGCAACACGGTCAACAAACCGAGCATGCGAAGCTGACGCAGTGCAAACACAAAGCCACAGATGATCATTGCCTTGGTCACACCAATCTTATCGCTTTTAGCAGAGCTATTGTCTAAATAATGATAGCAGAGTGTGGTGTACATTAGACATTAATTTATAGAGCAGAACAAAACAAACAAATAAAATTCAGTTTCACAATCAGGAATATTAAAAAAACGAAAAGAAAAAAGTTCACATAAACAATAACAAATTATGGAATAATGACTATCTACAGGAGTTTTCCATTCTAAGATACAGATATATACACAGAGAGAAATGTGGTAACAAATTGTTCCATGAACTCTAAATAAGAGTATTTATATGGGGATACTCTTTCCTATAATATCCCACCTCTCATAACATATGACCTATTACCCCTCAATCTCCACCAAATTTCCTTAACTCTTCCACTTCCCTGCCCTTTCCTCCCATCATCTCCTGTGTCACTTAGCGACACCCTGGGCAAGAGACTACTGATTCGTTTCTATTTGTGGACCTAACTATTCATTTTCACAATGAAACCTGTGGGTGTTTAATACTTTGTCTCTTTTTCTGAGCTATATTTCACTGCAATTGTTCAGTGAGTTAAAAAGTGAAAAAGGGGTGAGAATGCAGAACAACTGATGGATAACTGATGAGTCTCACCCACTGCTTCATCAAGAAACCAATCTAAAAGTAGTTTTACCTTCAGCTAATTTCTGCAGAGCTTCTGAATCTGAAAAGTATCAATACATTTGTGTAATCCTTGTCTTCTGTTTGCTATAGAAAACTACCAACACTTTGGAAAAACTCTAAATTTCTTACAAACTATTTAGGCAGTGAGTGATGGGCTGTTTAATGCTCTGTCTTGTGTGGGTTTCCTTCAGAATATTAACTTGCTGTAGATAACACAACAAAAAGTATTTCCCTAAATCAGCCCATTTTTGCAGATCAAACTGGAATGTGCACAACACAAAACTGCAACAGTTTTGTCACCGTTAGTCAAAACGTCTCTGTCACGGGTGAAGAGAATTGGCTCCAAAGAAATTAATAGCCAGGCCTCGTAGTAAATTCACAAGCAGCTCTTTCAGAAGTTACTAATACAAAACCATATTTATGTAAAATGTGACTGTCTGCCTATGAATGAGGGGAAAGGAGGAGGAAAAAAGAAAAATGAAGAAGAGAGGCCTGTGGGGTAACACATACGCATTTTACATAACACAAAACAGATGTGGTTCCAACTACACTTATTCAGGTGACAAATGCATACTTTGGAACCTAATTTTGATATTTCTCTAAAGTGGGATCCCATGTCTCCTCATCTCTGAACCCCAGCACTTGCTGCAGTGTACAACATTACTGCTTAATACTGAAAAGAGTAGGGAAAAGACTTTTTTTAAAAATATAATGAGAGAGAGAATAAATGCAAGATGTAAGAGCTAATTAAGCTTTGCAAGCCTGAATAACAGTATTGTTCATGTTATATTAGAAAAGACATTTCAGGACAAGGATGCAAAATTAACTCACAAGCTGGTCAGAAGTAAGTCGAAGCGTTTTTTTGTAACTGATTCCAGACAATAACGAGAGATGACTTGAGTTGGTTTGTAATGACCCGAGGTTTTGTTTGGCAGCTCTAGGGTCTTCATCGCTTGAAGAAGATTCATCTTTTATTCTGGAACATTGCACACACAGAGAAAATGATGTTATCATGTCAGTAAATGCATCTCAGTAGCCATTAAAAATGCATTAACAATGAGTCACCAAATAAGTCATTGATTCTCTGCTCCTAAGTACTGTCTCACAGGAGGTCATTCACATCATGGCTTTAAATATATCAATGAAGGGCCAAATTTTCATTCATGCATGTTCCCCATTATTCATACTTGGACTGTTCCAGCCATTCACTTGTCTATAAGCTAGTTTTCATTACTTTAAATTAACAGATGTAAATTAATGTGCCATACTGACTAAAAAAATCTCATAGTGTTAAAAAAAAAACACATTAGATACTGTAACTACAAAAATTGCTCAGTTCTCAGAAGAAGAAAGAGGCATTTGTTATGCTGGCTTTTTCCTCCCCCCCTTCTCTCCTCCCCCAAAGAATTCAGCAATTAATAAAAAAAAAAAAATCCAGGTGATGAAAAGTTTAATATAGAAAGTAACTCCCCCTTCCCTTTCAATGAGCAACTTTAGATCATCGGATTATTCTTTTCCAGGATTTGCAGGATTACTCCATTCAGGATACGATAATGAAAAGTCATAAAACCTGAGCTCCTTTAAACAATTCTGTTTAAATCACAGTATTTTTTTTTTCCTGCTACAACCATTTTTTCAGAAACTTGTTAAAGGTATTTTTCTTTAGAGAGAAAGTTCTCCGACAATAAACAAATTATCACCTTAGGCAGAAGGTAAAATATCCTTTCAGATCCTACAAATCTCATCTTTAAAACAATCAGCACCTGTCCTCTTATTTCGATCACACCTGGATTTTTTTGTTGTTAGGAAGTCTTGACCCAATATCAAGGTACTGCACATTGTGACTAGCAACATTTAAAACCCTATCTTATCCTTTATAACATCTGATCTCAAAAGCTTTACTCAACATCCCACTTGTCACATTTTGCTTTTGAGAAATAAATTCTTAATGACAGATTTCTAAGGTCAGTTAAAATTTAAACAAAGAACACCAATCTAGTCTGCTTGAAGTCTTAATCCCACTTTAAAGCTTATCTTTAAACAACCATGCAAGAAACAGACCTAAATGTCACTTGTCATCCCTAAAAGGAAAATCATCCTTTCAGATTTATTCTGTGACACTCTCAAACTCAGAAAAGCAATGGAGATAACAGCTAGTCTCCTACATGAGGAATCCTCCTTCTAGCGCATTCGACTGGACTGCAACTGCTGACCTCCAGAAAGCATGACAGCTAAGGCCTTTTTTGTTTCATAAAGGTGAGACTTGAAGTTAATGAGCATAAAGCATATTTGAATCCTTAGCATCTAAGTACAGACAGCACACGGATGGGCTGTCTTTACAGTAAGATCTGTATGTACAGAAAAGGGGGAAGGTAGGAGAGCTGTCCCTGGCTAACTCATCCCTCCAAAGCCTGTTAAAGCTCATCTTATGGAACCCTTGTGAAGGAGAAATTCTGACCATACAGTATGATTAGTTTGGAGCATGAGAAGGAAGAGACTTCTGCAGTCTTTGAAAGGAGTAAAAGAAAACCATGACTATTGCCTGTGAAAAAAAGTCTGGAAAGTCTTATGCCCCTGAATTTCACAAAACATGCAGGAACAAATTATGTTGCCAGGCCATAAATGTAAGTAAATCAGACATTTTAGTAACTGGGATCTGACAAGAGCACGGGGTCATCTATGATGTTCCCTTGAAAACTCTAGAGAGATACATATAGCTTTGGAGAACTGCTCCAATTACCGGCTTTTTTCAAAGGGCTGGAATGTGTGTCACAGAGCTGCCAGCCAAACCACAGAAACACCAGAGTGCACTCACAAGGTCTGCAACCCTGTCATGGGTAGAGCCTTCCTATCTGCACTTATTTGATGCAATGAATAAGAATTGCACATATTTCACTGACACAGTATTTCTTTGTTCAAACATAAGAGGTAGCTTGCTTTCATTTTTAAATGGTAAGTCCTGCTCATTTCAGGTACAGATAACTTTGGGGGTACCTGTTTGCCATGCTCATCTGTGAAGGGTCTTCTCCTGTAAGTCCACTTCCACTTATACCTTGTTCTGACTTTGTTTCCTGTAAAAACACAAGTATAAGAAGCTGTGCATTTCCTCTTAGGCAGAGAGCAAATATTTTTAGGAAAGTATTTGAAAACCAAATTCTGTCTTGTACAGACTTGGTAAAAATCAACAGCATGTTTGTTTCCTTTGCTTGTAGGCAAAGCAAAGCTTCATGTTTTTCTTAAAGAATAAAAGCTGCACAAAGAACTAAAAATTGCAAACATAAAACTCAGAAGAAGAATTAAGATTTAGTTTTGCATGGAAGAAGTACAGAAATATCAGATTTCACATTTAGTACTGTTGAAGTTCTGGGATCAATCCCATAACTACTCAGTTCATGCACCTTCAAATTGCTTTTTCGGTTGAAATGTAGCTAAGTGTGACTCTGGAGAAGAAAAAAAATAGACAAACACCTTTCATAGAATCATTAAAATCTTTAATGCAATAAAACTTTCCAAACCGCTTTTACCTTGAGTACATGCTAAGCTCTATCGATTTCATTCCACAAGATTTTTAAATAGTGAATTATTTTGAGACACACAAACAACACCACCTGCCATTATCCATTTACAGCTGCCCCAGCTCAAAAGACACCCAAATACTTCCACTTAGAGAGAAATTCTAAAAACTTGAACAAACTGTAAAAACCAAAATCTCACGCTCTGAAGCCCATACCCACAGATCAGTACAATGGTTATTTCACACAAGGCTAAAAAACTTCATCGACTGAGGCACAATCATAAAACGTATTAGAAGTCATTTTCTCCCCTCACGTACTAATGCTTCAGTAGTATAAATTAATATGAAGAGGTTTTATTAGTCAACTTTAAAGATTAAATATGTCTAGACAGGAGATCAATATTTCATATAAAGTTTTGCTTTTTTCACTGTTCTTTAATGTTCATTCATGGCTTTAAGACTGTTACCACAAACTTTTAATGCTAAGAAATTCAAAAAGACTTCAAAACTAATATATAGTCAGTTTTGCTGAATTTTACAGCTCACACTACTCATAAATATGTCTGTTCTTCAACTATCAAAAGAAAGTGCATAAAGGCATAATCTGCATGAAAACATTAAAATAGCGGCACAGCTCTTTGATTCTAGGTTCCCAAACACAAATTTAGTCCATTAGATAATACTGCCTCAGGTTTGGGTAACGAAAATAAATGCAGAACCAAAACACTGCAGGCAAATGTTTCAGGTAGGGTCTGATCCAAAGCTTTCTGAAGTTAAAAGAAGTCAGAACTTTAGACCCTGTTTAAACATCTTTTAATGTGTATATCCTCAGTCAGACTGAATACCGAGTTAATCTCAGAAGCAAAGTTCTGAGGGATGAATATGGAGGTATCCAGTTTTCCCACTGCAATCAGAAGGAAACTCTGCTTTCTTCTTAAACTTACCTCTTTAATAGTGCTGTTCCTCCCCCGCCATGAAAACCACCACCTTCCACCTTTTTTGGGCATCTTGTCCCTCATTATAGATTCCACAGTGGCCTGTGATAAATGGATGGTAACATAAAAAAAACCCAAAACAAAGGACAACCTGATATATGTAAATGAAAGAAAGGGCCAAACACACATTTTTAACTGATAATAAATAGAATAAAAGGAAACATACTGTCTGTGGACCATAAATTCTACTAAAGCAAAACCTAATGGTATCCAGAGCTGCTCTGAAGTAACTTAAGCATGAATACTTATGGTATTTTTAAAAGGAAAATGAAAAAGAGATAAAAATCAAAGAAGAAAAAAAAGCATAAATAGATATTAGTATAATGTCTAGAATGGAGAATCTACTGGGTTTAAGTTGAAGTTACTTATTGCAAATTATATCTTAAAAAAAAAAAAAGAAAAAAATCACTTCCTGAAGGAGCTCATGCAAAACAGTAACAAACCCACATGCAAGGCTGTTACTCTCATTTAAAAATAACTACAAAGTACATATTTAATCATGAGTTTTGAAAAACGCAAAGATGTTACTAGCTTTTATGAGTTTAGTATGATGTTATGAATTTGATTGACAATGTTAGAATCGTCTTTTTTAAACCCTGGCTATTTTTCATCGGTTATATACACTAGACCTCAGTAGAGAAAAGTTTCTTTCAGTACCCATAATGACTGCAGCCTTATGCATTGTAACAAGGAGAGCTGAATTCTTTCACTCGGAGAACAAGCAAAAGACAAAAGCAGAAAATATTACAGTAAAGATGGCCAGTGTTTGGTAAGCCCTGGAATGGCTTAGCCACTGGGTTTCTGAGACAACAGCCTCCACTGCAAGCAAAGTCACCAAAATAAAACTCTGACATTGATCAGTGATTTTAATAATAATAATAAATGATTCCAAGAACTCTTAGCAGTTCAGAGAGGGCTGAGTTCAGCTAATGTAAGGGATAATGACCCCCTTTTCCCAGTTTCTCACAGGTTCTCTTTATATATATATATACACACACACACACTCTCTCGTATATACTATCTCAAGTATATAAGAAAAGAAAGAAATGACAGAGGAATTATGTTAAGTAAGTTGAGAACTTTTTAAACAAAAATAAGAAAAACAAGGATGGAGCTACTGAGAATGAAATGCCAATGTTGAGAACAATGACTATGATCTAAGGAGGTTCTCAAACTTGGGGACAACTTCAAGCAGATGTCCTATTTACTTTCAGTGAGATAATTCACATGCTTACAATTAGACATTGTTTAAGTGTATTTTGCAGAACATGAGTGACTTTGCAAAAACTCCAGTTTTCAATCACTTCATAAATCCTGTTTGAATAAACTATCTAAGTATTTCAATTCCTTAATTCCATTGTTACAGCAAATCAAAACTCTAATTAGCAAGTCATTAAGAAAACCAGTAGGATGACTGGTAGCATAAATGAGTCATTTTTGTTTCAGAGGTACAGTTCAGCCAAGTAAACCTTCCCAATCATACAGACTGTTCCAACTATATATACTGGCTTCTCCACTAAATTAAAATTGCACTGTCTAGAAAGTCATCAGCATTCAGAATACAAGTTAACCATGTAAAAAAATGAACACGCTGAATTTCACACTTATGAAGACTTGTTAACCTATACAAATAACAGTTATTAATGGTTAAATGGTTAAAATAATAATGATTAAAAAATAACCATAATGCTGTTGAAAGATTTGCCATTTCCCTTAACGGCAAAAATATTTCATACCCATTCTTTCCATTCACCCACCCAAGGCAAAACCCAAAACATCTGGCTCAGGCATCGAAGTGTTCAATTAAAAACGCAGTTACCTTGCATTACCTTTATTGCCACTGACGACCCAATAGGCACCTATCAAGGCCTGAATCACTCTGTGGAAGTGCCCAACAAATAAAGAGTAGGAGAACTATACACCTTCTGCAGGCATTTGAGTTCCACAGAATTAATTCCATCTTTGATGATTACTAGAACATTTGCAGTAAAGCACAAAACATCTGGCTCTGACATCCTTGAAATTCAAGCCAGGTTTACCAGATGCTTGGGACTTTTATGATCAATTTACTTTATATTGGGATGCCATGGTGCAGTTACGCGTGACTGCACACATAGGTAACGTGGCACTAAGAAAGAACACAGTGGTAGAGTATTCTGGGCTTTGAATAAATTTTTATTCTACCTTCATAGCAATTGAGATAGCATTTGAATTCACACAGATTAAGCCCAAGGACATGTGGAGTGATACAAATGGCAGAAGGAAAGTTTGTGTTCCAAAAATTTATTAAATCCATGGCTAACTAGGATACAAAATAGTGCCAATGGTGATACTACTTCTTTATATACATTTACAGTAGCGTGTCTTTCTGTCCTCAGCATCCATGTGGCACCAGGTCACATGGAATTGGACCAAGTTCATCAATGCACTTAATATAAGCCAACATGTATAGCTGTCACATAGTCACAGTCATCTGTCACTATCTACCTGGGTTGGTCATGAACAACCAACCGAGAAACAGAAAACTGGCAAGCTACAGGCCTTCCTTACCTAGTAGTTCAAGCTTATTCACTGAGGTTAAAATTCCTGGCCTCTTATTTTTATTTGATAATGTATCCTGTACACAGATAAAATGGAAAGAAGTCACCAAGTATTTCAGCTACAGCAAACACTAACACGGGTCAATATTATTTATGCTTACGATCCATATTAAGGAAGGAAAACAGGAAGTTTTCCTTCTTCAAAATATTTGTAATGATCTTAGCCTAGCAAATAAACACTGTTCACAGACCAAATTTAGTCCTGCTTATTTAGCCCTTGGCATAAGCTAGATGAATGGTTACGTGTGGATAGATATTACTGATGTGCAGATTCTTTTGTACAACAACCCTCTTCTCTGCCTTAATGAAGGGCAGAATGTCACAACTCCTCCTCTGACCAACCTTCACGTTCAATCTCACCTTTGGCAAAGGTTTCTGGAATGCCTGCATTGCCAGCAGAAGGGGACCAGCTGTCGTCCAGTTGTAGTACCTGGGCATGCAAGAGAGACAATTAATGCATTTTGTAATCCCAAGGTTCCAATTCACAATCTACCTAGTATTTATCATCTGGCAGGTTAAAGCCAGGAAACCTCTTTAGCACAGGTCAGACTCTGGCCTGCACCACTAATAGCAGACCCATCTTATTCCACAGTATGTTCACAGGTATTTATAGCATACACTTTTCAAGGTATGCAAGGGAAGCTACGTCCGTAAGGAGAAATGGTATTTGTCCTACATTCCTCATGTCCCTACTGTACCTCATTATCACAGCACGAGCTACATTTTTTTTTAAAAAGCTGTTTCTAGTTTTTCCATCGAGAAACTACATAAAAGTTAGGGGCCGTAGTCTGTAGGATGTCAAGCTTCCGCTATTATGTGCTGAACATGGGTCAACTCTTGTTACAGACAGTAGGACACATACAGTATTATCATCCACCTGTCTAGGGAAGCTAAAGCTCACATAACATCTAAAGAATATGACAGTAAGATCCTCGCTAAGTACTCCTCTCTTCCCAACATATCAGCAGGCAGGTAAACATTACCAACAATTCAGAGAACTATGGCAGGGAAGCAGTGACTCACCTCAGACCACAGAGAGGGTCAGGTATAAGGCTGTACCGTACACAATGCAAACTATCATATAAGGATGCACCAGGCATGTCAGATTTGTATGAGCAATGTCTATGACTAAGGGTAGCCTAACCTCTAATACCACGATCTCTCCTCTCCTCTGTAACATTGTACACCAGGTGCATGGAGCTCTGAAGTTCAAACATCCTCCAAAAAGGAAGACACACCTGGCATAGACCATAGTGCTGTACTGCTGCCAGCAATATGAAAGAATGTCTTAGCCTTGCAGAAATAGAACTTTCATACTCGGTGGGTGAAGTTTGTCAAGTCTTGAAAAGCAACGCCTCCATAGAGGCATATTAGCAAAATATTCAGTATATACAGACAAACTGCTGGGTACAGAGCGCTTGCAAGCAGACTGCCACATCCCTGTAAATATTAATTATTCAAACTGGCTCAGGGCAAGCCTTAGCAAGTTCACATCCTATTTCATTTTTCCTCTGCCAATTGAGTGTGAACACAATTAGCATTTAATACTAGCTTCTTGAAATTCAAATTGTGTCAGTTAGCTGTAACAGGTCATCTGAAACTGCTCTTTACTTTCAATTTAAAAGAGGAAAGGTAACTAGAAAAGCCTGAATTCACTAGAGTTGACGCTTTCTGGATGAGTCTAAGCTACGAACATTCAAAACCTATTTTTCAGCTATAGTTAAACTGATTTAATCCACCCAAGTGCCACAGATGTGTTTTTGTTACAACAATAAAGCATTTTTTTTCCTGAAACATACTTACTTATTTCCAATCTTAACTACAAGGTTAGGGTCATCAATAATTGCAGGATTGTCCACAAACTGCTGATACGTTACTGCATGTTCTAAGAATTCTTCTGTGGGGGGAAAAAAATTACATATGTAAAGCACGCATTTATAGATGCCTGGGATGGGCCCACTGAAACCTCTTAACATTCTCAGACACGTAGGTTTCCCATTCAGGGTCAGCCCTTCATTACTAGGGTGCTGAGATCAGCAGTAATATGGAAGGAAGATGTTCAGAGACTTTCAATCTCAGAAGATGCTGAGGGTTTCTCTGTTATCTGCTGGGTGTCTTTCCTGCTCAAAATACAAGCCAAGTGAAAGCTCAGTGATGGAACTGCAAAGGGAGGAAAAATCAGGCTTCTAAGCAAGGAAGTACTTTGTCATGCCTTTCACTGATCCTCTGTCCAAGTTAGGAGCAGGAACTGATGGGCTCAACATCTATGTAAACACACAGCCAGGAACTTAATGATCACTTGTAAGGCCTACAGTAAAGTGAAAATGTCTATGAATAAATACTCCTTCCACTGGCCATGACTCCTTTCACGAAAACTATGTAATTTACAAGTGATTCAGATAATAATACAACTCCAGTAAATCACAGTACATTTGAAACGTTTTAATAGCCAGCTTCTGAACAGCAATCAGTGTAGCATCAGACTCTTAAGATTTTATGACACCATATTACTGCGGAAAGTGCGAGTCTTAACACATCTTCACATTATGCAGCTGGAAGTTTAAGGTACAGATCATTGTAAATGATTTATTTAAAAGTCACACAAGAAATTGGCGGTAGAGCAGGAACTCAGGTTAAAGTTTCCAACTCCCTCTCCTACTGTCCGCATTTGCAGACCACCTTTTCATTCCTGACACTGACAGCTGTGAATTTCCTAGCTATACACTGTACCAAGTAGCAAAAGTACCGTCAATACTACTGTGATACAAAACGTCATACTATCAGGAAATAAAAATACCAATAAAATACTTTAAAAAAAATGTAGTATATAGCATATTATTAACATGTGTTAAAAATCGTAAGTCCTATATCAGTCTACCATGAAAAATTCTAGGAAAATTATTACAGGGACAGTATTTATCTCCTCAACACATTCCTGAGTACAGCCACTGGAGGGCACTGCTTCCTCGGTCTAGGATGCTAAAACCTGGCTGACAGCACATGCCTGTAATTCAGAAGGTCATTCCGTACCTTTGGTTATTTCTTTGTTCTCAGTAAGGCCTCCGCAGAGAGAAATGGCAATGGAAGGCAAATCTCGCATTCCATCCGAGGTGCTTTCAACTCCACTGTCAGCACCTGAGCTCCCGACAGACTGTGGAGACTGGCTGGCAGACTGCGGCCCCGTGTCGTTCGTGTTCTTGCTTTGGACATTGTCCCCACTGGAAAAGAAAAATCAGGAATTCAGGCTTCATGTATTCATTCCCAAATCTGCGCCCTTCAACAAGCACTATCTACATCTGACACACACACACGGCGGGTGAGGGAAAGGATATTTGCTTGGTTTTGTATAAAATTTAAATGAAACAGTATAGGCCTCATGTACCCTCAAATATTAGATTACTTCTACTTACTTGCCTAAACTAGACATGTATAATTATAGCTTCATTTATCTACAAGAAAAGAAAAATAAGATAATAAACTGTAAAATCTTAGTAGACAAAATAATGCTACCATAAGCAGAGTTTATACTAGTAAAACTATCCCACACAGCAACAAGAAAAACATATTAGTTTATTATTTAATTTATATTAAATGTATAAACTAATAGCTAAACTCAAAATAAAGGATGCTTATGTTTATGCATTTATGCATCATGTATATATAAAATACATATAAACTACAAGGATTAAAATTTTAAGAATCAATAAATCATTATACCCACTTAAAATCTGTGTATAGATGAAATCACCTACAAAGTGCAGCCTCAGACTCTGCTCTCCATTCCAGATTTATATGAATGCATTTGAAAAAGGAGTTTTCAATCCAACTTTTTTCTCCATATTATTAATCTTTCTCAGTTTTATTGAAACGCTAATATTACAACAGCTAAGTTTAAGCAAGCAAGAAAGAAAGAAAAATAAAATCTGCAAGCTACTTTAGTTGTTGCTCAATGACTAGTCAAATGACTACAGTATGATGTGGAAAGAGGACTATAAATGTTATAAGAGGCACTAACAAAGATCAGAACAAGTTAGAAATTGTATGTTCAGGGCACGGTATTTACTTAAATAAATCTGTCATGTATCTTCCAAAAATTATTTTCTAATATTCACATTTATAGGTGATCATCCATAGCAGAACAACATCAGAGCAATAATTTTGTGCTAATACTCTTAACAGTAAGATGTTCTTCATGGTAATAATCAAGAATATGAGGATAAATATATTCCAAGGCAAACTGCTCTCCCAGGGCATGTGAGTAACACTGATAAACATGAGTGCACATAAGTAACAATCCACAATCAATATATGATGCTTAATTGACCAAAATAGAAAAAGAGTTTCAAGCACATGTCTCGGGCCCAAATGTAGAGCTTTCCAAAAGTTCTAATATTCCTCTCCACAGAGGCTTTTTTCCTTCTGCCTTCACCTCTGCTTGGACTCTGAAAAAGAGGTCTTATCTGGTTGGCAATGAGGAGTTCGATCTAAATCTGGATGGCGACAAGAGCTCTTTAAATAGTAAAAATATAAGCAAAGGACTTATACTTTTTGGGGAAATAAAGTGCAGCAACTTCTGGATCCATGTCAGTGAGGTCATCTAAATAGACACCATCAGCACCAAGATGCCGGCTTCGTTTGTCTGTAAGGATGGCACAAACAAGCATTTTCTGAGTTACGAGCTAGAACTATTATTACTGTTTAACTATTCATTTTAAGATTGAGAAACCAAACAAATTATAACAGCTTGCGAACTGTATTTGTATAAAATGGTACTGCCAAAAAATTTTAAAACAAGCTTGTTTTAAAACATTGTTTAGACTTTGAATACACAAAATGAGACAGCAGGGGACTAGTTTTGAGATATAGTTTTGAAGCCTCCTTATCCCAGACAAAACCACCCGGAATAAGAAGTCAGTGGTCGCTGTAGGAAAACAGCAAAAGGAAAACTTTCTGAGTGTTTGTATAGCCCTATTATCACAGTAAGGCAACCGGAGCATTTAATCTCCGAGAACTAATCTTCAATCCCTTCTTGCAAAAGGGACATAATACAACGAACTATACTATAGTCACTAATACACTGTAACTGGCTTGTTATGGAGACAACTCGCTGTTAGTACATACAACTGATGAGTTGCACATGCAATATTGTAGGCAATAAGACAACCCTCTGAGGTCTTTCACTAATACGACCACACAGAATCATCGCTGTCCTGTTGTTGCTGGCACATCCAGACAAGTAACCACTATAAGGCCAAAACCTGATTTGGAATTCATTCGAAAACCCATGACTTCTCACTGTCCCAATTTCCAACATCAAACGTCAGAAAAGCAATCAGAAAAAAAAGTTATGTGAAGACTGAATAGTAAGGAGAATAACACTGTCATTTTCGTCTTCAAAGACAGTGGAATGCATTGGGAAGTGGCCAAGAAACTTGTATGTTTACTGATTAAAAATCAGCTGCACAAACTAGGCTTATATAGGGTTTATATAATTATAGAATAATCAGAGCTCTCAAATATAACATTTGTAAGCAAATAAATTCCATGTGAAGATTGTAACACTTACTATAAAATACCATGGATATTGAGTCCAGAAATTAAATAGTAGAAAAGCAGACGGAGTTATAGTTCACAGATTCAGGACAGGACGTGTATCACACAGAATTGAAATTGCTCATGTGAAACAAAAGCACCTTATTTTATGGCAAATCTGTTGTTTGTGCAAAAGATACTACAACTTTGTACTAAGGCAGAGAAAGTTCCACAATTACCTGTGACACATAACAACTCAAAGCAGTCAGAGAAGGTAAACCAGCAGATCTACAGTGTGCTTGTACCAAAAAGTGAAGTCTCTGAATCTGTCAAATACAGATGAATTCGGAGCAAGTTTTGCAGTCTTGCTCATATGCACAGAGCTGCCAAAAATCCCAGACCAAGGAGAATCTCCTATCTTACTACACGGCCCCTGCGAACAAACTGCTGCACAGCTCAGGTTTTGAAGGTTCTTTCCAAAGCTTATTCCTTTCGAGATCTGAAAGTGCCTTCAGGGCACAGATTAATTTATATGGCAATGAGGTGCTTTACCACCACGAAATTTAAAGACAAAAGCATACATCTAAGAGCACAGAATCAACAGCTTTACCTTTCTTTCTGGAAGGGGAATCTGTCTTGCCAGCTGGTTGGGCTGAGCAAGCTGCAGCTTGTTTTATTTCTTCATTGGCAGGCAATGGTGGCACAGCTGCTCCTGGAGACTCTATCTCTGGCTTATTTGTCTCAGCTGGTAAGGGCTCACTTTCATCAGCAGTTGCGGCATCCGCTTGTCCAAGGGCAAGCAGAGGAGACACAGTGTTAAACTCCTCTATAGGAGAACTTTGGATGACCCGAAAATGAGTGCTTTCAGAAGGATTTACATCCACCATGCTAGGTTCCTTTGTTTTGAGCAGAGAACTGGCCTATAAGGAAAAATAAACAGATTGCTATAAAGAAAAGCTCTTAGAAAATGCAACAGCCACAGTTTAACCCATTACGTTCTTTCCAGTGAGACCAGATTCTCAAGCTAACCAACTACAGCAGAAAGCCACTACTAACTGAGGTGAAGACTACAGTGTACAAAAAACCTCTCTGCTGTGTGTTTCCTTGCACAAAATTCATCTGTATCTCAAGGCCAGGAAAGATTTGTTCTGCAATGTGCTCTACAGTCTTCATTTCCCACTCACCTGCCTGGGAGCACATCACAGCTCCTACCTTGCCTTCCTCCCTTCCTGTGCAAATCCTACCTTTTCTTCAGAACGTAACCCCAAGAAACATGTGAAGGGAGCACAGACTGGAGTCCTTACACAATCAGGATGCTCTCAAGGACCAGGACAGGGGTACGCTGTCATTAATCTATACCCCAGATTTAGATTTTAAATCACTTTACAGGAACCATTCCAGATCTTCTCTGAGTGTGGGACAAGAGGTGTCTTACATAGGGCAGCTGAACTACAGCAGCAGCTATTGTCACAGCAAACAAAATCTTACACGAAGATCAACAGCACCCAAAGCATAACTCCTAGTTCAGGTACGGCTAGGATCAACTCTGAGCAGCTTGGCTAGGGACGCAGACAGGGACTGAAGAGGGAAAAGCCTCCAGGAACAAGATTTGTAATACACACCAGGCTGTGTGACTGGGGTAAAAATGAAACACCTAAATCTGCTAACAGAAAACCCCACTTTCTAAATAGCAAATGCCAATTTGAAACTCCTGCCTGGACCTGTGCACCTAAATCAGTTCTCTATGTACAGAAAACAGCTCCCAGTTTTCTTGTAATATACATGAGAAGGAGAATAATGCAGAAGTGATGGGACAGCTTATCTTTGGCCTACTAAAAATGAGGCCAGAGTTCTGAATTCTGGATTCCCATCCCTGCTTTTGTCACTAGCTACCAACAGTGACTGAAAAGATAAGTTACGTGCCATTATAATTCTGGTCCCACCACCAGAACTCAGAAGTCTTCTTTCCGAGAAGGATATCCACTTCTCTGGCCCGCAAACCAGGAATTTTATTTCTTTATACTGTTCCTGACCCCATCACTCCTTCAGTCCTTTCTGCAGGGGAGCCAGCCTTCAGCAGAAGGGGCCAAACCCTGCACCATTCCTGCCCCCATAGTTGCAGCATATCACTGGAACCTGACCTTTATTTCCAACACTGCAAGGCAGGCAAAAGCCCTAAGCCTTCCCTTTCCTGTATGAATGCTCTGACTCCAAGCCAACACAAGGAACCAGCCAGTACCTGACTGACCTGCACCGTACGCAGCTACACATGGTTACTGTGCAGCTTGGGAGACAATGCTGCTGGCACACTACAGATCCTGCCATCTCACTGAGCCAAATGGCTTCAGGCAGGAGAGAGGCACCAAGCCAGTAGGCTCAGCCAAGAGAACAGCATGTCTGGACATGCAGAGACACAGAAATGCAGGTGTTTCTGGATGCTTATGTACTCAAGCAACCGATTTTAATTTTTGTGAATCACCGCTAACACCAAGCACCTAATTTCCATCTAAGACCACTTATGAATTTCAATGATTTACCAAAGGACATTGGACTTTATTATTACTCAAGCTTCTAACTTTCACAAGACTAGGTCTCTTCATACTCTACTGTGTATCATCTGTGTTGAGAACATGCATGGCACAAGGTATCCTCCTGTACCTCCTGGACAGGTGCACTCTTCACTCGGTAAAAAACTGGCTGGATGGCCAGGCCCAAAGAGTTGGTGAATGGAGTTCAGTTCCGTTGGCAGCCAGTCACAAATGCTGTTCCCCAGGGTTCAGTATTGGGGCCAGTTCTGTTCAATACTGCACCCTCACTAATTTTGCAGATGCCACCAAGTTGGGCGGGAGTACTGATCTGCTTGAGGGCAGGAAACTCTGCAGAGGAACCTGGACAGGCTGGATCAGTGTGCAAAGGCCAACTGTATGAGGTTCAACAAGGCCA